CTCCTCGCACTGAATCAAAAGACTTACAGTATTTACTTGACTGAACCATGACTCGATTACTAGAGCCTCCCCGGCAACGGATGTTGTTTCAGCACGAGTTCTCACTCTGCAAAGGCGTAGCACTGCGTAGCACTCTACACAGCTCCTGCTTGGAGACCTTCATGTCATCATTCATGTCATGGTACGCCACCGTGTCTTCAGCCATGTAGGAGATCACAAGGTACTGGATGCACTCAGCTGGGGTCATAGGAGGCCCTATTTCCAATGGCCCGGTGCGCAATTTAGGCATTACTACATTAACTCTCATGAAATGGGCAAGGAAAAATGTTGAACCTGCTTGATCCAAGATTTGTGAAAATGGCATAAATGGCCTTCTTCGGTAAACACTTATACACCACAAGCTTCACAAACACTAACGACTAACGAAGCTTAGGGCGCACAACATGTATTTTTGGGAGGAGTGTGACATGTGCTCATGCTGGCGGCACAAACGAATGTCTTGCATTGTTGTTACATTTCTTGCATTGTTGTTTTCTATTGAAAAGTTTGACCCGCTTCATCTTGTCGTGTCCTTGTGCTGCAAGAACTCGGGATCTGGAAGACTACGTAGAGCTGAGGACTCACTTTTTTCAAACCAGGTCTTCACCTCATCCACGGTGATCTCTTCATCCTTGATCGCAAGCAACCACATCTACTTCGGATACAAAAGGAATTTTGGTTTGAGTAAACACCATCTTCAATCCTTTCGCTTGAACACGGCCAAGTCCTGATTGGTGTCGACCAAGGTCTGTATCTTCTCCAGTTGTTCCTTCATCCTCGCCTCCTTGGGAGTTGGGACCACTCCGCGCACGTGCATGGTGGCATACCCCGACCAGGTCATTGCCACGCAGTGTCCGACTTCTGCAGACATGGAAAGACGTGGCAAGAAAGCCCGCCTCGGTGGAAACGAAAAGAGGAACTGTTCAACGAATGAAAGCAACCTGAAGCAACTCTTGGTGCGAACTGTTAACATTTGGCAAACCCGCTGAGTTGCAAAAATTGCACTGGCTGAGGAAAAGCGTACTGCAGAGTCAGCGCAGAGCCACACTGGCCATCCTTGTGTGGCAAATCAATGCAAAGCAGCTCGAACTATTTCACCTACCCAGCCAGGCTCTTATTCCAGTCGATACAGCACCCGTTCTCTTGCATTGCCGCACAAAGGAACTGGAATCCTATGATGACCTATCATTTCAGCCCACTCTGATTCTCTGCGTGTAATTCTCAGTGTCCAAAAGAAGGGATGCCGGCTAAGGGATGCCAAGTTGTTGGCAAACCAGTTCAAAAAAGAGATGGAAAAAGGAGGGTAAGGCCCCTTTCACAAGGCCCCACCCTTTGATGTTTCCTCTCGTTCTTTTCGTCCAGGTCTCCAGCGGCGGCAAGGTCGAGGTCTCGTGCAAATATCCGGGTGGCCAAATCACAGCACCCTTAGCGCTGTTCAAGAAGCCGAGATCCGGATCCCACTTCTTGGCCTCACTCTAGCCAAAGCTGGGAGACCGCAGGTATCCGCAGGTCGCGTGCGGACGCTGCACATGCTGGAATAAGTCTCTAGTGTCGTCACATCAGTCGCATCCTGCCTCATAAACACCACCGTCAAACTCATCAAAGGAATCGAGAAACGACATCTTGGGCAGCATCATCTTCCTGAAGAAAATGCAATCTCCATTCACTGACTAGATTCTACATACCTGTCTTTTGCAAAGAATGCCTAAACCATCGTTAGACCAAGACTCCGCCAGCGCTTGTCTCCCCGAAGCTGTAGAGAGACCACCGACTCACAGTAGCCATCGTTGTGTGCACCTGCCCCGCCCACTGTGATGTGTTTGTACATGGTACGTACCTCTCTAGCAGGCTTTCTCGCTTGCCAATTATATGCTTCTAGCATGCAACAAGATTTGCCTTTGCTTGTACTTCATCAAAGAGCAAGCTTGTCTTCTGTTATTTGGAAAGTCCTATCTGCACCTGCTCCAGAGTAGGCACCAGGAGAGAACCAAACTTCAAAGCTCCGGTTCATCTTGGCCTTTGAGCGTTGTAGGCAGAAACTCTCTTTGATGAGGAATCCTTTAAAGAAATATTGAACCCCTAAGCTCCATCAAGTACGACTCACACTGAGCAAAAACGACATCGTATCTCAGTAGTGTCTCATAATAAAGACCTCATCGTAGGTATGAACTGCAAAGCCTGAGATTAGGATAATCCAAATCTCAAGCCTTGTTGAGAGGATCCTGTAGGAATCCAGGCACCTCAAACCGCTGCTGCACCTGGCCAAAGCTGAAACTACAAACCAAAGAAAAGCTACTTGTACAGACCAAATCAAAAAAGGTCAATCGAACAAAGAACAAGCTCTGCTCAAGACTGCTGTGTGGGCGCCTGCTTCTTCTCCTTGGGACTAAGCTCATCCTTCACATGCCACACGTAAGGCCCTTGCTTCGGCTTCAAGGGGTCATCCTTGTATCTTTTTGATGCTGGACGAGAGAAGTTGTACCACCAGGTCTTCCTCAGTGAGAGAAACGAAAGGAAATCACAACATGTTCAGGCACCTCCAAAATCTGTGTCAACTAACTAAGGTTCTTAGATGCTTTTGCTGAATCTGTGTCAGCTAGTGGTAGGTACGACCCTAGGGTAGGATTGTCCTTGCGAGGCCTGTCATAATTTGTGCACATGTTTGTGATTGAGCATCCCATCAGGCTTGAAAGAGCCAAGCTTGAAGCGCAGCTCACCGTCAATGACTTTGGTGTCGTGCTGCTTCTTGTTGAAGCCAGGCAGTGAATCAATATATTCTGCCTGCTTCATAAAGGATGAAAGGACTGGGGAACATTGACAACGACAAGAATCTCGCTAATTGGGTCTGCGAAGAAAGATGGGAGGGAAAGTTAATCGCTGCTTTGGGCAGGACATGGATCCCAAATCTGAAGGACTCCTAGAAATCCACCCGGACCGTTAGCGCGAGAGTTGAGCGTGATTGTTCGGAGGCACACACGATCTGTGGTGTACCTTTGGCTCGGGTGAGCTTGATCTGAATGTTGTGTTGTGGCATTTTGTCCGGCAAATACCAAGGCAAACAATGGAGGAGGACATCTAAGACTAGAAAACCTCTTCGTTTCCTTCTTTGTCTCCACTTGTGCTGGTGGATACAGGCTTGTAAGAGCATGAAGTTTCAGCTCTTTTGCAGCTCCAACTTGCTTCGGGAAAAATCCGGCCTCCAAGTACCCAAGTACAGTGGATTACTGGTGTTGAGTTTCAGCAGCTTGCCTTCATGTAGCCGAAGGGAAAAGCTTCGGCGAAGTCCTTGCAACTCCAGCCAGTATATGTCATGTTTTCTGCCCAGTCAGCGACGACAATGGGATAGCCACGGCGAGCATGAAAAAGAAACTCCTGTGAAGTTCTGCAAGGAGAGCAGCTGCACTTTTGCGCACCCAAAAGGAATTCCATGAAACTCTCCAAAACTTGAATCAAGCAAGTTATCCAATGTCAGCAATTTCCCGTGCTTTTTGTGGAAAGACGCATGAAAAAAACTTGTACTTTTGAGTTGAAACTTGTAAAAATACCAATCCACTCATGGAGTTGTCCATTCCTCACACGATCTACAGCGCCGCAACAGTTCCTCCCGTGTTGGGCTGGTCAACACGACTGGTGAACCAAGGCCCATCTCATTCTTCTCTCGCCCTGGGAAATACTCCTGCACCAGACCCGCTTGGTAAGGTCGGTCTCTTGAATACCAAAGGGCTTCGTGTGTAAAGTGTGTTGGCTGTGTAAGGAGTAATGTCATGTAATATACCAGGCCATGTAAAAGGACTTTCACTTTAGGCAATCAAGACAACTGATTGTCTAAGCTTGCAAAGAAAAGCATGGCATAGCTCACACGGCAAAAGCTCTGGGCACCTCGAAGGTGGGCTCCCATAATGGTGGCTTCGTGAGGCTAGTCAAGTCCACATCAAATGTCGGCGTCGCACCAGCGGCCAAGACCGGTGCCAGAACCGTCAGCCCCCACTGCCAGCTTGGCCTTGGGCGATGGCTTGGTCTCTTGCTTGGTGTTTTGACCAAGAAAACGGACAAAAATACAGCGCGAATGAAAGGCCCACAATTATGCCCTTTGTTTCTAGTAGCGTCCTTGCTCCCAGTAGCGATGCCCTTTGTTCCTAGTGGCTTCCAAAGGGCATAGAGGGTGGATCCAGAGAGTGGGCATCGCCACGATCAGCAAACTGAGTCACGGGCCGGGCCATGGATCGGCAAAGGAGCTCGCCCCACAGCGGTCAGCTGTGACGTCTGATTACGATTCATTATAGTTCGTATATATATATATATGTGTAGAGAGAGAGAGTTATCGATGAGACTACCTTTCAAGTCCAACTAAACTAGTCACACCACGATTAGCATCTCTAAGTGCTGTGATGTTGGCTGGACTGATGTGTCTTCGGAGCAATGGATCAATACTATCAAAAACATGCCTTGGCAGTGAGACCTTGCTTGCCTCTAGACCGCTCATCTGTAGAGAAGTGGTGTCTTTGCATGCAATGAAGATTTGTTAATCTGTTGTTCACATGGTTCTTCAAGCAATGCGGTATGCTCTATACAAATATTGTGTGGCGGGCTTGTGAGCCAAGCAGCTGGCGTGCTTCAAAATGCTTGCACAGACTTTGCAGCAATCGACTTCGCTTCACGTAGCACAGCAGTAATTGGATCTACACCAGCAGGGTGTTTCCCATCAAGATCCTTCTTCCCTCACAAAGGCAAGGTAGAAAGAAGCATCAGTACCATCAGTTCTGAGATGTACTTTACTGACCACATCCTGCGTAGGTCAATTATCCCGCTTGTCTTGATGACCAGGTCCCTCATAAACCTCATAGCAATGGCCTCCACCTAGTAGCTTCTTGCTACTAGTAGTAAGGCCAGGAGCTACTAGTAGTCTTGTTCCTAGTAGCGATGGCCTCCACCTAGTCCTTGCCCAACCATCAAATTCACGCCTGGCACCGGCTCGGTGGAGCAAAGAGCTCGTGGAAAATGAAGCTCCAAGCCAGGCACCTCCCGCACAAGAGCGCAGCAACTTGACCATTGCCGCTTTCCACTCCAAGACCCGTGAGGCTGTTGTTGATTTTATACAAATATGTTTTCAGTCTAGATATCTATGTAATTCAAATATCTTCAAATGCTTTACGGATCAAAGAACTCGTGGCTCAGTGGACTTCCGTCTGCAAAACTATCTCAGTAGTGTTTAAAGAATCAAACACAACATGAGAAATGATACAACACAACAGACTTAAAACCTCACAAGCCAACTACCTACGTCTCCTCTCCGTTCTTCTAGAAACAAACTAAATTCTAGATGGAACGATACAAACCGGGCCTCACATATCTGAAACTTCACCTGAGCTGGCAACAGGCGCCAGGTTAACCACGTTTCATATCCAAGGAATAGCTGACATATCTAGGAGCAAGTCACAGCATGTTCACGCAATGAACTCTCAAAAAGCTAAGACACCACAAATGGATAAACACGCAGCTCGGGCCTGAAGGATGTCACCAAATTTCTCAGCCGACTCCACCAATGCATGAGCAACCCAAGTCTCTCGCAGGCCTGACTCGAAGAATTGAAGGAGGGCAGGAACCTTCAGATTGCTCAGATTCCTTGCGTGTACCATTGTGTACCTACATGGTTTGGTACAAAAGGTTCTATGTGCTCGGGATTCAAACAAAGAAGAGTCAGGTGGCCTGAACCTGAGAGTCAGATCTGCCTGGGTGCACACTGTAGAGCTGGGAAAGCTCTTGCAACTCAGTGTCAGAGCAATAGCAGCCCTGCACAGCGCAAGGTAGCGGGAGCGACAATTCTCTGATCCAGTCCGCATAGTGATTTTCTATGATTTTGTCGTGCTTAGAGCTGGGTGAGCTTTGTCTAACGTGCGGTTTTGCATTCCCATTTGTTGAGGGCTATTCGGGATGTTTGAGGCTAAACACCTCAAGGGCTTAGATGGCGGTCTGGCCATACTGGGGAATATCTGCGTTACTGTAGGTCTTAGGATGTCTCATTTCGTAGCGCTTTGAGCATGATGGACCTTCTCATGGACTGAACACACTGGACACTCTTCACCGGGCGGACTGTGTACGTTTGCCTGCTCAGAGCGCTCGTCCACCAAGCGGGCAAATGCGTCTAAGCCAAGGCCTTCCTCGAAGAAGCTGACAATTCTGACACTTCAGGCTTCCATGTTATGATTTGCTTGCAGCCTCACTATTTTACCCCAAATGAGGCAAATGGAGCCATGACAAACGAGTTAGTCTATTTGAGGTGCATACTTTTTGAAGGCAGGCAAGAAAGTTCCATATCTTTCTTGTGCCTCGTCAGCACCAAAGTCACGGCAAAGCGATGCAAACTCCCTGACTGCCAAGGCGAGAGCAATGAAACCTTGCAAAAAAAAACATACCTCCTCGACTCTACAGCTGGGATCAGTCGATCTACAGTATTCGCATTGTGATAGACGGAGAAACGTGGCAAGCAAATGAGTTTTAACACAAATTATCCATCCATCGGTCCTAACTTATCAGCATAGCGGCAGGCATAGCTCATGTTGGTTAGCTTGACTCAGAAATGCCAACTGAGGCGGTCTCAGGCCCTTGCAAACTCCAGTCTTCATCGCTGCCATCAAAGCCTGTGCAGATCAACTCTGTGCTGAGATCTACATGAGGGTCCACCTCTACAACATATGTTCCTCAAGCCTGGCGGAAGTTTGTTGTGCATCCTGGATGCAAACTTAGGGCCATAATATGAGCGGGCACCACGTGCCCATTTGCCAGTATTTGCATGACATGCTCGTCTCGACGTGGGCCCTGGGCGTACCACTCGGGGTTATACTTAGAGCCAATAAGTAGTACATAAGTACCAATACAAAGATACAAAAGATCCATTTGGTCCAATATATTTCTATTTTATATGGATGTCTTGCAATTGCACACTCAATTATACACATTCCAGTCAAGCTCGAGTCGAATGTCGGTCCACCGGTGCAATTTGACAGATGCTGGTTGGTCCAAGATGAATACAGCCTGTAGGCAAAATAATTGGACATCTGCTCGCAACAACACACATTGCACTCAAATCGGAGACCTGAGCACAGCATAGCAAATCAAATGCATTCTTTATGTTGCCATTACCCATCAACTTGTTGAAAGACAACTGTAGCTTGCACGCCCAAGAAGGGTGGCTTTGTCAACACAATGTGACAGCACACAAACCTCTACAAACAAACCAGTTGGCAAAAACTATGAAACCTTGCGAATGATTTCAACGGCGTCGCAAGTCTCTAATGCAGTATATGCCTGGCTAATGCCTGGCATACCAAAACCTTCTCGCCTGTGAACTTGGCCAGTTTCCGAAGTTCGACACATCCCAAACGTTCTTGTCCACCCAGTGCACGGAAAGCCTCCTGGCGAGCGAGCTTTCCTTTCTTTGTCTTCCTTTCCTTTTTCATTGTTTTGCCCGTGCCCCTGCTCCGGGGAGTAAGCTACTAGCAATAGGAAGCTCCTAGCTAGGACGCAGGATAGCTCACGCTTCTTCAAGGAAGCGCTCACACTAATGATTTGGTGACTAGATTTTTAGGAAGCTTATATAACATGGAAATCCTGGACTAGGCAGGCTCTGCCGGCCTCTATCAACTGCTCGCGGCTTCTATCACTCCCATCCAGCGGCCAGCGCAAACCTCAAAAGGGACATTTACTGCACTAGATCCAGTGTGCCAAAGGGATGTGTTCGGCAAATACTCTCAACTGATTGCAACACCCAAGGAGCATAAAAGATCATCGGCGCGAATTCGCAGCTGGTGCGCCTATCCGACTCTGACACTTCGCAAGTCTGCAAGGTGGTGCTCCTTCTTTGATCCCGCGGAATGAGCCTACACGTACACCTACTGCTACTACTACTACTGCTACTACTACTACTACTACCACGACGACGACGACGACGACGACTACTACTACTACGACTACGACTACGACTACCACTACCACTACCACTACGACTACGACTACAACTACTACAACTACTACTACTACTACTACTCCTACTCCTACTGCCACTGCCACTGCCACTGCCACTGTGACTACGACTACGACGACCACTACCATCATCACCGCCACCATGACCAACACCACCACCCACTGTTACTAGCTACACAATCAGCATAAATCTCCCGGTTGTTCATGCCTTACACTAGAAGGGTACAGTTACCAGGTTGGCCTTGAAACTGCATTCACCCCCACCATCTCCACCAAATGCTGCCTCGCTCAAATCCAGCGGCACATCAAAAGTGCCGGCGGCACGCCTCGATGCTGAGGCTTGTCTTCAAAAAAAGAAGTGAAAAGGAACAGCGAAGGTCTTTCCTGCAGGGACTTGTTAAAGCAAAGGATCCATGTGATCACCTTTAAGCCTTTGGTGTGTCTGGTGTGTGTTCCAAGAAGCTCAAAAAAACGGATGGACACACCATCCAAAATTCGACCATCGCTCTCCGTGACTGCGGTGCTGGCAGCCTGGCGAAACCGCTTTTTGGGGGACGCTTTTCGGGAGAGGAAAGCGTGTTAAGGCATCGGTTGCCGTTTGTTGCTGTAAGCAGTAGTGAAGCCCATGGAAGTGCAAACTTCAATGAGCTCTCCACCGTAGTAAGCTTAGTGTCCCTTCAACAAGGGCCCCTCACCTTCTTTCTTTCCTCTCCTTGCTTCATTCCTTTATATCTTGAAGTTCTTTCATGCTCTGTCATCTTCGATGTTTCGTCTCGATTGATATGTACCTGTACATGTGTCTACCCAGACCGGAGCTTCTTCTGCCATTTTACATCTCAAAAGGCCCTTGCTGTTTGGAGTCTTTGCTCAGTGTTTGCAATGGAATGCACAAATGGCTCAAAAACAACCAGGTGTGCAATTAGCCGTCCAAGCTGCTGGTATGATCCCAGCTGCTGGCGTAAAGCACCACACACCAAACCATCTGCATGGATGTACAGCTAAATATACTAAATTCTAATCACATTCATGCTGAATATGCTCATTGGCTGTTCAACAGTATAATGAAATCTGATATGATATCTCCTTCTGCCCTAGCCAGCCTTCGCTGAAAGAGGGACAGCAAAAGTTATATAACTGAAAATTGCACGCCCTTAGCACTACTTCAAAGTGTCCACCGCAATGGCAAAGCTTCACGCGAAACCCACGCAGAAACGCTCGAGGATTTGTGGTTTGCAAGGACAATTGTACATGGAACCCTCAAGGTTTAAATCCTCGATCGCGTGGAAGTGCTCCAAGCAGCTCCAAAATTTGTCGGCCTGGGAGACCAGCCTAGCAAGGAGTCTAGAGTTCTCGAAGTTAAAACATCAAGCTTGCCAAGTCCTCTTCTGATGAAATGCCTGAATGCAAAAGAGACCAAATACAAGTGCCATTTGCCTCAAAAGCAACATGATAACCTTGTTGCGGCAACCTATCTTCCGTAGCAGCATTTGCAATGCTGGGCACTTGCATGGGCTCAGAGCCGATGCTCGGGTCTCAGGACATCCTCTGGAGCCAATCCGCCACTTTGACATCACAGCGCCCTTGCTTAATGCCGCCAAAGACCTCTGCAAGCACCACGACCTGGACGATTGTTCACGAGCAGGATCCAACAAGAAATGACCTGAAACAAAGTATGACAACATGGGTAGGTTCCCACAGGCACAATATGTGTCTTGTCAAAATGCCTTGCTGGAACCAAAGAAAACCCTGCGAAATGGTCTTTAGGCCTTGCCAAATCCAAGGGCTTCTTTTCCTGCAAAGCCAGAAGCAACAAATCTTTTCCCCTTTGACAAGACCGCAACTCTATGTCCGCCGTTCATGAATTCCACATTGATGAGCAAGCTTCCAAGCAAGTTATGTTATTATGTTATGTTGTAAATATTCTTGATTGGCAATGTCAATTATGTTGGGTTCTGCGCCGTGATCGCGGTATACTGAAAGCTGCCGATCCTGTTGCTCCATTGCCATTGCTCACACTTCTCTGCCCCACCAACTGCGTTTTGTTCAGGGCTAAAAAGGCGAAGCCGGCAATCTGCACACCCGCTTCAGTGCCTGAGTCAAGCCAGTGCGGCAAACTCCAAGAACATGCCAGCTGCCATATAATGTGTCTGGCACGGAACGTGGGGACTCCTAATCTGAGCTAAGTCTGAGATGGGGCAAGTCCGGGGGGGGGGAAAATTGAAGCATTCAATTTGCAGGTCAACATCGAAACCAGCCAACTTCCATGTCTGGTCGGGTGGCAGATCTGCTGCAAGGCTTTGGCAGTTTGCCCAGAGGCCAAGAAGTCATCGACGATCAGAACCCGATCCGAAGGACCAAAGAACTCCGCCGAGACGTTAAAAGTCCCAGTGGGTGCCTGTTTAAGGCTTGCAAACAAAACACCACGTCTGGCTTTTTTGAAGCCAGCTTCAAGCACCTTGAAACACCAGGTCAAAAGCAACAAGCTGTTTTGGAGCCTGGCCTGCGCACTCAGAATTCTCTGGCCTTTCATGGTGAGGGGGACACCAGTACCTTGTAGAATCTTGTTTGGAATCACGCGGCCCAGAATGCAAAGGTGCTAGCAAGCTAGCCATATCAGCCCTTCCTGGAAACATTGATGCCAAGTGACGGGCAAAGATCATAGGTACTTCGCAATGTCTGGCAACAACATATGCCACAGAGAGGCCTTGCACTGGAGCACCTGAACCAACAGAAACCATAGTGATAGTAGTTATCGTCATCGTCATCGTCGTCATCGTCAACGTAGTAGTACTCGGGGTACTAGCACTAGTAGTACTCAGTAGGTTGGTCGGTCGGTCGGTAGGTAGGTAGGTTAGTAGTGGTTACTAGTGCCTACTAGTGCTTAGTTGTGCTTAGCAGTGCTTAGTTGTGCTTAGAAGTGCTTCTGGTTAGTAGTAGTAGTAGTAGTAGTAGTAGTAGTAACTAAGTAGTAGTAGTAGTAACTAAGTAGTAGTAGTAGTAGTAACTAGGTAGTAGTAGTAGTAACTAGGTAGTAGTAGTAGTAGTAGCTAGGTAGTAGTAGTAGTAACTAAGTAGTAGTAGTAGTAGTCGTCGTCGTCGTAGTAGTAGTAACTAAGTAGTAGTAGTAGTAGAAGTAGTAGTGGTAGTAGTAACTAGGTAGTAGTAGTAGTAGTAGTAGTAGTAGTAGTAGTAGTAGTAGTAACTAAGTAGTAGTAGTAGTAGTAGTAGTAGTAGTAGTAGTAGTAGTAGTAGTAGTAACGTAGTAGTAGTAACGTAGTAGTAGTAACGTAGT